GGAGAGGGAGAGAGAGATAGAAACATCAATGATGAGAAAGAATCATTGATCGGCTGCCTCCTGGACGCCCTCTACTGGGGGTTGAGCCCACAACCTGGGTATGTGCCCTTGACCAGAATCGAACCTGGGACCCTTCAGTCCATAGGCCGACGCTCTATCCACTGAGCCAAACCAGGTAGGGCGAGGCTTATCTTTATTTATTTATTTTTTTCACTTGCTCTGGTTCCTTCCAGAAGCAAAGAAAAGTAGATGTGATGGTCAACTTATGATATTTTGAAAAATTTTCCCCAGATGGGTTGGGACCTTGCATCATCCAATTTATTTTAGGAAAGAACTGCTACTTTGTTACTGAAGACTCAGCTGATTCTCCCTGGAATCATCACCTGCTTTTCCCTTTCTTGCCCCAGCCATTCAGCAATGGATTAGTGACTGTGATGGTCCCCCAGCTGCGGAGGGAGAATAGTCTCCTCTTGTGGAATGTCTTTGACTTGAACACCCCTGTCCATACCTTTGTGGGGCACGATGACGTGGTGCTGGAGTTCCAGTGGAGGAAGCAGAAGGAAGGTGAGTGGGAGAGAAGACGGCCGCCTGACTTCCTTCTGAGCCCTGTTCCGCAGCAGCTCAGTCAGGGTTGGCTGTGTGATCCGATGAGGAGGATGCAGAGGCAGGGCTGGCTTTAGGAGTCAGTCAGGGTCCACCACCTTCAATCGTAAATAGGCAAAGGGGTGTGCAGGCTGTGATTCGTCTCTTAAGTTTCCTCCTCTTCTCTCCTGTTGCGTGGAGTCTCCTGTGTGGGAAAGATCTATAAGAAATGGATAGACTTGCTGTGGGATCATTTCTAGGGCTGAAAACTCTGGGGTCACTACCTTCAGAAGCCTCTGGCAGTTGCCCTTTGCTACTCTGCCGACGAGGGAGACCCGAGGTCATCACTGCCCCTCACAAATTCCCAGTCTCATCACAAATACATAGTGGTATTTTACTGCTCGTCCCCTTGAAGATAAGTTTGGTCAAATGACATGCTTTGAACATGAAACATGAAACATGAAACATGGTGTGGTCTCTTTTGGGTTGAAGTATTTTTTTTAAAATATATTTTATTGATTTTTTTTTAAATTAAATCTTTATTGTTCAGATGATTACATTTGTTCCTCTTTTTTCCCCCCATAATTCCCCTCCTCCCAGTTCCCGCCCCACCCTCCGCCCTCACTCCCCACCCACTGTCCTCATCCATAGGTGCACGATTTTTGT